TGTCCCTTACTAACTCACAAGATCAGCCTGTTTTTCCCAGCCATGGCATTTCTCCCAGACTGCAGAAGCCCCCAGGGAGTTCCAGCCCTCCCAGTCCTCAGGCACCAGTCCAGCCTCGGCACTGGGCACCCTGGGGGGCCGGAGGAGTGCTGAGAGGGTCTGTGGGCAGTACTGAAGGTGGCAGAGCAGGCGGCCCCCCTCCCCCAGGCAGGCCTGCCAGCAGCCCCTATGGGAGATGGATGCTTCAGTGACTGGGCAGGAAGGACAGGCTTCCTAATGGGGTAATTGAATAATCCTAAGCCCCGGGGGCCTGAGAGGCCTCAGCTGTGAGCTTCGGCCACAAATAGCCTGAGAAAACACAGGCTAGCCAGGCCAGGAAGGGAGCAAAGGGGGGAGGGGCAGGAAGTCTCAGGGCTGGGGGGAGAGGGAGGGCTTGGCTTTCTGGGGCCCTTCCTCAGGCTCAGAGCTTTCTGTGGCCCACCCCCATTCCAAGGGGACCAGGGCCACTCTGTTCAGGAAAGGGCCCCCCAAATCTACCTCTCACAATCCACACCCAGAGGACCAGCATTCTTGTCCTCAGCACTGAACCCTCGAATGCTGGGCACAACAGTACTCCTTGCCCCTCCCTGCCCTCCCCTGGATGGTCAGGCTCAGGCCTTGCAAAAGTCACATGACCCCCCCCCAGGGAAGATCTCCTCAGCCTCTCCACAAGTTGGGGGACCTATCCCCATGGGTGGAGTGGGTCCTCAGTCATGGCTGGCCCCCACAGAACAGCAGCTTTGGGGTCCAGAATGCTTGGGTGAGGGGGGAAGCCTGAACCCCAACACAAATCGGGAAAGCTGGGGCTAGCCTGCCTGAAGTCCCCTCAGAGCTGGTGCGTGGGTGGGGGAAGGGAGGGCAGAAGCCCCTCCTCCACCCACCAAGGTTCCCCCCTCTTGGTCTCTGGCTGGGTAGCCCAGTGGCTTCCTCCCTGGCACAACGCCAGCCAGTCTGCCTGGCTGCCTCTGGCACCTGCTGTCCCTGACACCAGGTGACCTTGGGCAAGGCATTAGCTTACTCTGACCTGCATTTTCCTCATCTGGGCAATGGGCACATTGTCTCAGGTCCAGCTTGTCCTGGGGCAGAGGGTGTTTTGCCAGTGTTCTGCTAGCCTTACCAGCCAGGGCCTACATATCCAGAAAGGCCAGCCCAAAGCCCTGGCTAGAATGCAGATGCCCACAGGGAGGGAGCTCTAGGCTGGCTGGGCTGCCTAGGGGTGCTGGTGCAGCTTCCAGATTTCCAAAATTGCACTGGCCTTCATTCCTGTATCTGTTCAGTTGACCCCCATATCTCATAGGGCAGAACCAGAAGACATGGGGTTGGGGGGAAGTGGGCCAAAGCAGCCGATCTGGGCCAGTGAGGTCCAGGAGGCTGGACCTGATCTCTGACCTGGAAAGGTGCTGAGCTCTCCATGACTAGAGGGGACTACATCCAGGGTGGGGGTGCTGGGGGGGCCAGTGAGCTCAGGTCCTTGGCCCAGGGATGCTGGGATGATGCCAGGCACCCTCCAGCTGGAGGTGGTTCTGGGACCCCACCCCCCACCTTCTCCTTCCTCCTTCCCCCACCTGTGAGTGGGTGTCTTGGAGCAGCACAAAGAAAGATCAAAGCGTGACAGTCACTGACAACATTTTAACTGGAAAATTGCCTCCAATTGGGGGGTGGGGGGAGAATGGGCTTGTGGTTGGATGGAACCACGTGCCAGCCCCAGGCAGGGCCCAGCACACTGGGGGAGGGGGAGTTGAAGAGGGTCTGCTTGGCGACCCAAGGCAGGGTCCTGGACCCCAGAGGTCACTGACCCAGCCCCCCCCCAGACCCACTGGCAGGAGGGGAGGCCTTGGGGGGCTGAAGGAGGCTGCTGGGGCCCAAAGCAGGGTCCTGGACCCCACAGGTCACTGACCCAGCTTCCCCAGACCCACTGGCAGGAGGTGAGCCCTTAATCACCTTCTCCCTTCTGTGCCCTGCGTCCTTGTAATGCCCCAAGAAAGAGACCCATGGAGCCAGGGAGCCCAAGGGCCCTGCTTAATCTCTTCCTGTGCCAGGCCCTGAGCCTACAGAGAGAGCTCTCCTTTTGATGGACAGGCCACCAGTGGGGACAGGGCAACTGGACAGTGCTGGAGAGGTGTGGGGGGGGCTCCCCAGGGCAGATCCGGTCCCCAGGTTTCCCCCCAGGCCCACTGGCTCCCCAGGTCTGCCCCCCTCTTCTCTCCTCTCTTCTTTACCCCTTACTCTGGCTTCTGACCTCATCATTCCACTAAAACCAGCCCTCTCCAAAGTGACCGAGCAGCTCTTAGCTGCCAAACCCAACAGCCTCATTTCCACCTCAGCCTCCTTGGCCTCTGCAGCCTGGGACAGTGGGGGCCACCCCCTCCTCCTGGACACTCTCCTCTCTCTGGGTTTTTGGGACACCCCACACACACACACTGTCCTGGTTCTCTTCCTCCCCCTCTGACCACTGGATGCTTCTCTGGCTCCGTCCTTCCCCAGATCAGGCCCTCTCTCACCACAGGCATCCCCCAGGGCTCTGTCTGGGGCCCTCTGCCCTTCTCCCTCTGTCCCACTGCTGTCTCCCATGGATTGAATGACCTTCTCTATGCTGATTATTCTCAAATCTACCTGTCATGGCCTGACCTCTTTGCTGACCTCCAGACATCTCCAAGTGGACATCAGTCCAGTGGACATCTGAAACTAGACATGTTCAAAACAGAACTTGACCTTTCTCCCCCAGCCCTCCCTGCCTCCTACCTTCACTATCACTGTCCTCCCTGGCCCCCAGGCTCCCAGCTCAGGGTCATCCTAAAATCCTCACTATCTCTCAGGCGCCATACCCAATATGGTGCCATGGCATGGTGCCTGGCGCTTGGCAGGGGCTTAATAGCTGTTTGCTGTCTGTCTGGCCTGTGAAGCGCCCCATACCTGGAGTCACAGCCAGCTTAAAGGCAGCTCAGCCTAGGGCAGGACCAGGTGAGTCTTCCAGGTTCTCCCAAGCTGCCCAGGGAGCGCTCAGGGTACATTTCCAGGCCCTCATTTCAGTATGGAGGAAAGACCTCGGAGAGGGTATGATGGGCCCTGGCTTCCAGTCCTGCTTCTGGCCCTCACTAGCTCTGGAAACTTGGGCCAAGCCCTCCTACATCTGGGCCTCAGTTTCCCCATGTGGTATGGAGATCAGGTATCCTTCCCAACTCTGCCATCACTTCAGACTGTGTGATTTCCCTCATGTGGGCCTCGGTCCCCCACCTCCCTCCCGCCTCCCAGAAGCATCTGATAATTTGGTGAGATGAAGGGTGTCAGTAAGCCCCAGCACCCTCCCCGCCCCCCTCCATGATTGGCAGAGTAAAGGTCAGTGCAGCCCCCTCCCCTGGGTCCCAGAGCCATCTGAGCTGCTTCACTGCCTGGTCCTATAGGAAGCAGAGGGGGGCCCTCCAGAGGGTGGGGAGGGGACCAGGGTTAAGGCTGGAGCCCAGGGAAGGGCCCTGGAGACAAGCAGCCCCTGGTATCATAGGCCCATCTTGAGACTGGTGAGGGAAACCCTGGGGTCCAGGGAGGAGCTGGGGGAGATCCTTGTGGATTGGGCTGGCCCTGTGGCTGTGGCTTCTGTGCCCCTCAGGCCTCAGCTCCCCAAGGAAGGGGGGGGGGGGCTGGCGGTATTCTCCCTGCACCAGCCTTCCTACCCCAGGTTTAGTGAGCACAGCCCCGGGAACACAGTAGGTGACTAATAACAGCGCGGGCTTGCCTTGTTCACTTAGCATTATTGCTGTTCTTACTGCTCACCAGCTGTGTGACCCTGAGCAACTCACTCGATCTCGGCCTCATTCTCCCCATCTATGAAACAGGGAGAATCATGGAGCATCTACCTCCCGGGCTCAAACGAGAGATTTCTGAAGCTCTCGGCCCCCGGTTCCAGCGCCACATAACCATGCACTGTGATTGGCCACAGTCATTAAGTGGTCCACTGTTCTCCTCTGGCTCCCTAGGCAGACTCCATTCTTCCTATGAGGGGAGACAACGGCAGAGATGGGATGGGAAAAGCCATGGTGAGGGGATCTCTGAGGGGCCACCACACAGCATCTGGCAGATTCTGGGCCCCACAGAAGCCCATCCAGCCAAAGTCAAGAGCCAAAAGGAGAGGTCATCCCCCATTTTACAGATGAGGAAACTGATCCCCATAGTAGCAAAGTGACTGGGCCCTGTCAAAGTCCCAGAGGATGTGATAACCGGCAGAACCGGGGACTGTGGCCACAGCTGCTCGGGAATTCTCTCTTTGGCTGCCCTCTCCATGGCAGGACAAGTCTGGAGAAGTGTGAGCCACACTACCATAGGTGCAGGCTGCGATCAGGGAGAAAAGGCGTGGCTCCCACCTCCTAGGAAGTCCCAAAAGCTTCCCCAAAGCTTGCTGGGGTGACCATGGAGGGAAGGATGCCAGGGCTCTGCCTGGGACTCAGCTTCATCCCTGCCACAGAGCCCCAGGGAGAGCCCAGGCTTCCTGGTGTGATTCAGAGGCAGGGGCACTACCAGCAGTCTCTCTGCAAATGGCCACATGAGCTCCGAAGGGCTTTTAGGACGCTCAGGATTTCTGTTAGGATGGCAGGGGGCAAAGCTGCCCCTCTGTTCTCCCCCAGCAGTCCCTTCATGCCTCTAGGGAAGCTCAGGGTCTCTAGGAGGTCTTTAGACAGACTGGAGGGTAGTGGAAAGGTGGGCCAAAGGCCCCAAAGCCCTCTTCCCTGAGGGCCCAAAAGCCCAGAACCGGGCACGAAGAGAAGTACTGTCTGCCCACCCAGGGCTGGGTCTGCTTCTTCTGGCCTCTGGCCCTGGCACTTCTCACAGAATGCCCTAAATGTGGCAGGTTCCCAGCCAGCGAGGACGGAGTGGGCAGTGGGGGTTCAGGGGCTGGCTGCCTCCAGGTGAGCGAAGGGTGCAGAGTGGCCAAGCTGGGCACAGACACACATACCACAATGTCACACAGTCCCATTTAATTGTCTCTCTAAACAAACATTACCAGTGGCTATTAAGACAGACAGAAGTTCCCGGGAGCTGGTCAGCCCCCAACTCCACAGACCCAGGGCCAGCCTGGCCTCCCCATGCACTCCCCTGCCCACCCCTGCCCACTCCCTCCCAGCCCCTCCGCCTGAGGGCCAGGGCCAGGGCCACCTCTGCTGCAGGACCAGAGGCACCCAGGAGGGCAGCCAGGAGCCAGAAAGCACTCTGGGGGGTCCTCCCCTCAGTCCACCTCCTCCTGAAGGCCTCCCAGCTCCCTGCTCCCCAGGCCCACTCTGGGTCACTGAGGCAGGACACATTGTCCGGTGGTGGCCAAGAGCCGGGCTGGCTCAGGAGGAAGGTCCCCCAGTCCCTAGCTGGGCACCCCCCATCCAGGCCAGACCTCCTCCTGGGATGCAGACCCACTTCTCCTCTGGCCACCAGAGGGTCAAAGATTCTCTTTCAGCCAAATCCACGGCCAATGTCAGGAGATGCCGGCTGGTGGGGGCCCCTCCAGGCCAGGGCTTGTGGGGTGAGACCCCGGGAGCTCCAGGCTCAGGAGCTCCACGTCCTGGAAGCCACGGCTGTCTCTCGAGTCCTCGGGCTCCAGGGCTGCGGCTGCCCTGCTCGGGCGGGGCGTGCCGCCATTGGTCCAGATGCCAGCTCCGTGCCCGTTGAGCCGGAGGCTAATGCGCTCCTGGCCCTGGACGCAGTCCCGGCCGTGTGGGGTGGCGGCCCGGGTCACGTGGCTGCGGAGGATCTTGCGGAAGGTGTGCCGGAACTCGCGGATGCGGTAGGCGTAGATGAGGGGGTTCACCACGGAGTTGGTGTGCGAGAGGACAATGGCCAGGTACATGAGCCAGGGGGGTGCGTGAGGGCACTCTGGGCAGAAGAGGGTGAAGCAGTTGATGATGTGAAGGGGCAGCCAGCAGATGGCGAAGAGGCCTACGATGATGGCCAGCGACTTGGCCGCGTGCACCTCCTTCTGCAGCGTGGAGCGGGAGCGCTCCCCGGCTGCTGGCTTGCTGTCCATCTGCTTCAGCTGTCTCCGGGCCGCCATGAAGATGCGCAGGTATATGGCCAACATGAGCAGCAGAGGCAGCAGCACACACGCAAAGAAGTTGTAGTAGACCATGTAGTCCATGGGGACCACCGCCTCAAAGAGGCAGGGCATCTGGCCCGCGCTGCAGTGCGGGGGCTCGGAGCTATTGCCCACCACTGCGGCCTCCACGCACCGGCTCCAGCCCAGCATGGGCGTCAGGCCGATGATGAAGGACAACACCCAGCAGATGGCAATGATGCCCTTGGCCCGTGTGCCGGTCACCAAGCCGTTGTACCTGGGGAGGAAGAAGGGGAGGTCAGGATGGCCAGGGGAGGTAAGGCCAGTGAGGAGGAGCAAGGAGCCCGCATCTGGCTACCGGGTGGGGCCAGACACCCTTCTCTCTGGGCCTCAGTTTCCACTGCCAAGCCAGCCATAAACCCTAGGCTTTGGACCATCGGCTCCTTGAGGGCAAAGAGCCTCTGCTTCTGTTTGGGATGCTGCCCCCCCCCCTTCCCCAAGTACACATCTTGTCTGCCTCCATCACCGGTGTTGATTCGATGTACTGTCTGATCTTGCCCTGTCCAGTGCTGGGTGCCAGGGAAACAGAGACCACACAAGCTGGACAGACCCTGCCCCCAGGGAGCTGACGTCCTCCTGCGGGACCCAAGGGAACATGCATCCCGAGGAATAAAGCCCGAGATCCAGCACAGGTGAGGAAGGGATTGCAGTGACTAAGATTCTGTGAACCAGAGCTGAGGAGGAAGAATATGCCAGGCTGGGGGCACAGCCTGGACAAAGATGAGAGGGTTTGGAAGAATGGGCAGATAGGATCACTGTGCCCATCAGGGAAGGATGAGAGACATGCTAAACTGCAGTGGGAAGGTTGTCATGTGGGATTCTCTGTGGGTCAGGGTTGACTAGAGACCACTGGGATCCTTATCAAATCTCCAATTCTGTAGTTCTGGGTAAGGCTAGAAGACTATCCTGATTTTATCTTTAAGGGGAAGAGAACAGAATTTGAACTCTAGTTCTGTGACCTTGGCTTTTACTCCTAGGAAAATTCTAGAGTAGCTCATTAAAGACTTGCAAAGAGCCGGCCTGGCTGGCTCAGCAAGCACAGGTTATGCCAGACTTAGCCCATTCCCTGGTTGGCCAGAATGATGAACCTAGCAGATGGGGCAAATGCTGGGGTTAGATTTACCTCAATTTTAGCAAAGCTTTAGATAAAGTAGCTCCTACTGTTCTTGGGGAGAAGATTAAGAGATGAGGACTAGCTGATAATACAAGGATTCAGAATTGTTTGGATGGCCAGTCTCAAAGAGTACCTGTTAATAATTCAGTGTCAGCAGGGCAGGAGGTTTCTGATGGCGTGTCCTAAGAATCTGTGCTTAGCACAAGGCTTGGATAAATCAATGACTTAGATAAAGGCAGAAATGGCATGTTTAGCCAACTTGAAGACAACACTAATCAGGGGAGAGAGTTAAACACTGGGTGACAAATTCAGATCCAAAAGTATCCTGAGAGACTGGAGTATTGGAATTAGATGGAAATAAGTGTAAAGCCTTACACTTGGGTCTAAACAATCAACTTCTCAAGTATAAGATGAGGAAGGCCTGGTTAGGCAGGCAGCAGTTTGTCTGAAAAAAAATCTAGGGGGTGGAGGGGACAGGAAGTGGAGCCAACAGTGGGATGTGGCAGCCCCCAAAGCTCCAGGGCCTGGGCTCAGCTCCTGGGCCCCATTCAGAGGTGCAGAGCTTCCTGGAACAGAGCAGAGCATCCATCCCCCCATCCTCTGCCCTGGTCAGGCCTTCCCTGGAGTGCTGGGGTCATTTCTGGGCACCACAGCTTAAGAAGGACACCAGTGAGTTGGAGAGTGTTCTGAGGACACAGCCAGGCTGGGGGAGGACCTTGTGGGGTCAGCATGAGAAGATCAGTTGAAGTTGGTAATATTTAGCCTAGGGTCCCACAAGAGCTGTGTTCAGGTATCTGAAGGTCCATCGGGAGAGGGGGGCATTCACCTTGTTCCGACTGGCCCCAGGGGGCAGACCCAGGAGCATTTGGGGGAAGCTACAAAGAGACCAGTCTAGGCTCTGTGTCAGTAAGAACCTCCTATCCACATCCCTGTGTGGAACAGGCTTCCCCTAAGAGCTGGTGATGGCCCCTCCCTGGAGGGCTTCAGGCAAAAGCTGGACCTGCCTGCCTGTCCCAGATGCCATGAAAGGGATTCTTAGTGAGACACACCTGTACACTAAAGGCCTCAGGATCCTTTCTGATCTTGAGGTTCTGTGAGTCTGGGATTCTCTGCCGGCCCCTGGTCACAGCCCTAGCCCAGCCCTAACCCCAGCTACCGATGGTCTTCAGGGAGCCCAAGTAAGAAGAAGTGTCCCCAGCCCAGGGAGGGGGCACAGCTCTGACCACCTGACCTCCTGTGGGCAAGCAGAGGGCAGCACGATTGCGGGGGAAGCTCGGCCAGTGGCCTTGGCTCAGGATCGGCCAAGCCGGCGGACAGCTCACCTGAGGGGGATGCGGATGGCAATGTAACGGTCGATGGCAATGGCCAACAGGCTGAAGATGGAGCTTTGAGTGAGGACCAGCACAAAGCAAGCTATGAAGAGGCAGCCGTGAAAAGCCGCGCAGAAGCCAGTGCTGATGGTGATGGCGAAGGGGATGGCGAGCACCCCCACGGCAATGTCGGCCGCCGCCAGGGACACCACGAAGTAGTTGGTGACGTTCTGCAGGTTGGTGTTCATCGAGACTGCCCAGCACACCAGCACGTTGCCCAAGACTGCCAGCACGGCAATGACCACTTCCACCACGATGTAGACCACGTCCCAGGAGATGGAGAGAGCCATGGTGCCAGGAGGGGCGGGAGGGCCGGCTCAGAGAGACCGAGGGCCAGGCCAGCTCCGGGTCCATAGCTGCAGCCCCAGCGCCGGGGGTGTCACAGGCTGGGGGGCTACGGAGGGCAGAGGCTCTGGGGGGCTCTGGCCTGCCCTGAGGTGCCAGCCCCCCTGGACCGCTCCCCAGCTCCTGGGGGCCGGCATTAAGAAGGGGGGAAGGGCTGTCCTCACTGCAGAGATTCCTCCCGGTCACATGGCCTTAGCATCAGGAGAAGAGCGGCCTCACGTGATGGCAGCCCTACTCTATCTTGGAGTGACGTCGGAACCTAGGAAAGAAGACACCCCCGTGAAAATCGGAACCAGGGGCCGGGCGTAGGGAGGGACAAGGCTGAGGCCCGGAGGCAGCCCCCCTGGCTCAGCTGGCCAGGCCTCAGACACCAGTGGGATAGCTCCCTCCCAGAGAGACGGGAAAGGCACAGTTGGATCACACACATACAGGCAGATCGGCCAGCCCCCATGCTCAAGGAACGATACCTCAAGAAGCCTCCGGGTATCTCAAGGGCAGGCGGCTTAGGAATCCAAAGCAAATTCATTGTCCTTCATTAAGGGTCTCCTTCCCCCACTGGGGAGGCTCCTTCCTGCAGGCAGAGCCCTACCTGGGCTCTCCCCAGCCCCACTCCACCAACGCTTCAAGGCGAAGCTTAACATCAGAGAATCTCAGGGAAAGCTGGGAGCTCAAGAGAGGATCAGGCCAAGCCCCCTGCGCGCCCTCAGAAAGGTCCCTCTCGTCCCCCTTTCAGAGGAGCTGACTGGGGGTGGCCCAGAGGTCCGGCACCAAGAGCGGGGGTCGAGAAGGGCCTAGAAGTAGGTGGTGCGCTTCCTTCTGTCGGCCCCGGCTGGTCTTTCCTGTGCACTCCCTGCCCCTCCCGCCCCGTATGAACCTACCAGGCCTCCCACACATCATGACTTCTGGACTGACTCGGGAGAGCTGGGTGCTGCCCAGTGCACTCTGGGACCTCGGGGAGTCACCCTCTGTAAAACGGGGAGGGGGGCTGAGAGGGCATCCAGTCCCTCCCCAGCGAGGCCTAGGAAATGGTCACCACACCGGAATCGGGTCCTGGGCCATGCCGCTTCCCCTAGGGTGACACCCCAGTGCCAGCGGGCAGGGATGCCTCTGAAGACTGCAGCCACGTCGAGGGCTGCCAGCGTGGAATGAAAGAGAAGGAAGTGCCGGCATTTTGTGAAGAGGCCCGTGGGAGGGGGTGCAGCTTACTGGCCTACGGAGAAGGCCATCGGAGCCCACACCTGCCTCACCCCAGGACCCAACCCTTCTCCAGCTAGCTGTCCTCCTCTCCTCATCTGCATCAGACCCCAAATGGACTACCCTGGGCCAGCCACTCAGTGCCTGTTTCCTGAGCTTCAAAATGGGGATGACAACAGCACTTCCTTTTCGGTGTTGTTGGGAGGGCCAAATAAGATCATATTTGTAAAGTGCTTAGCACAGTGCCTGGCACACAGTTGTTGCTTACTAAATGCTCCTTCCCTCCCTGATCGCCTTAAGTGAGGGTGGGGTCCCACACTGAGGGAGCTGCTTGGAATCAGGAGGCACCTTCAGATGCCAGGGTCTAGACATCTCAGAGCTGAGGCTCCATCCTATGCTAAGGGTCACTGCCTTTGTGGCTAAGAGCACAGAAATAGCAGCAAAGCCATAGAGGGATGGGGGGAGACCAAGGCTGCCCACCAAGAGGGAGCCAAGGGAGAGGAGAGAATCAGCCCAGCAGAGTCACCGTCCCAACAAAGAGCCAGCCCAGAGGAAGAGCAGCCTGTCCCGCTCGCCCGGTGGCCAGGCAGCATTCCCTGCCCAGCTCAGTGAGTGGAGGCTGGCCTTCCTGCCCCACTCTTCAGCTCCTGTTTGGACCCTTCCTGGCCCAGCCCATGGCCAGGAAAAGAGCCAGGCCAGCAGCAGAGTGACCCACTGAGGCTGGCCCCCTCACAGACTGGCCCATCCAGCAGACACATCATGCCCTACAAGGAATGAGCCTAGCTAAGCTGCCCATCTCACAGGGACGATGTGCCGTGAAGAGAAGCAGCCCTCCTGGCAGGAGCCCTTCATCCTCAACACCAACACATGGCCTCAGCAGAGAAATAAAAGAAGAGGAGACCCCGGTGTTCCAGCACTGTGAGCTGCCGTGCAACATGTGTTCTCTGTGCGCACCACACCTCACCACTACTCTTCTCCAAACCCACACCCACCCTTCTTCCTTGGGTTCGTAGGCTTTGCAGTAGTGCGCACCCCAGGCTTCTGGGGAAAATGCTTTGGAACTGCTGTTCCTGCTGTGCCATTTGAGTAAATGCTTTTTTCCCCCAAAAGCTAATCAAGTCCTCTGGCTCATTGTCAAGGGGAGGCACACTGATGGGGGCTCTGTAAATTGCAATGGTTACCCTTAGAAACAAAAAGAGCAACTGCTCTTTTTTGGATCCTACCTGCCAGTGCCAGTAGGAGTTAGGGGAGGGGTCCTTGGTGGAGGGGCTGTGCTGATGTTCAGGGAAACCTCAGAACCTCTACAGGAGGTGAGCTGCCAGGGAAGGGAGGTGGGAGTTGACAGTGACATCCAGCAGGAGGGAAGGAGGCAGGAGGCAACTCTGCCCTCTGCACTGAGGGACTGCACATGCAGGGCTATCCTCCACCCTGGGACTTAGGACCCTGATCACACTCTGCCCTCTTCATTTCCTCCCCTCCCCATTTCCCCTTCTCCATCTCCCCTCTTCCCTTCCCTTTCTCCCCCTCCTATTCTCTCTCCTCCCCTCCCCGTTTTCCCTTCTCCTCCTTCTCCCCTTCTCTTCTCCCCCTTCTCCGTCTCCCCTCCTTCCCTCCTCCCCTCCCTTTCCTTCTCTTCCTCCCTTTTTCCCCCTCCCCTTCCCCTTCACTTCCTTCCCTTCCTTCCCCACCTCCCCCTCCAGCAATTGTCCAGGAGTCCTGCCTCCCACTCCCCCACCCACCCATGTCTGTTTGCAGGTGTTTCCTCACTCTCCCCTTATCGCCCGCTGGATCAGCCACTCTGGATCGGCAGAGCTGGGCACAGTAGTGCTTTCCTTCAACTTGATGGGTGAGAAGGTCCAACAGGCTGGGATGGACTGCACTCATGCCAGTGAGATGGGGCCCTAATAGTGGCATTTCAGGCTGCCCAGAGCCTTGAAGGACTAAGGCAAGGGTGAGAGGGCTTCCCTCCTGAGGCTGAGGGGCTGGGGAAGTCCCCCTGCTGGCCAAGAGCACGACTGGAGAGACTGTGGGGGATGGGGGGGTGCAGCTCTCCTCCTGAGAATGCGGAATGGAATCACATCTGACCTGTGTGGCCAGCTATTGTGGTGGGGGGAAGCCCAGTATCACTGGACCCTCCGAGGCCCTGTGGTCAGAGAGGTCATCCAGCCTCGGTGGCCATCTGCAGCCACCTGGGGCTCCGCGGAGGACCCTCCATACAGCCCCCCTCCTCCCTGCCGGCTCTGCAGCCCCACAGGCCGTCGAGGCCCTACTTGCCCCTAGCTGACATTCCTTCCCACACAGGGATCCAGAGCCCCCCAGCTGCCATTGTTCAAACCCTGTTTGTTTACCCCGTCCCCTCACTGCCTTCTCCCTCCTCAGCATCACATTCCTCTCAATCCCCAAAGCCCCCTCTACAGCTACCAGCCCCCAGGGAGCAAACCCGCCTTCATGTGCAGCCTTTCACTCTGCTCCTGTCCTGACTCTCACAGTGTGGGCTCCGCCCTGGCTGCCACCTCCACACCGGCTGCGCCTTGCTCCCCTTTGCCCCCCCAAACCTCCCAACTACCTCTCCTCCTTGGAGGTCACTGGGCCCACCTGGACCAGCTGCTCCAGAGCCTGGTAGCCACCTCTGCTGAGCTCCAGGGCGCCCGAGGACCCTCCCCACCCTACCTCAGTGAGCTCAGAGCCTGACTCCGGGTCAGCGTGCCCTTTTCTCCCCTCCCCCACTTCCCACCCTCATGCACTTCAGCCCCCATGTGGATGCCCCTCCAGCACACTTATCTCACGGTTCCTCAGCCCACTGCCTCAGCCACACACAATTAGTGACAGCTTCCAAGGCCTCAGTTTCCTCTCCTGTCAAGTAGGTAGGAAGTGGACTGGGTGAGTTCTGGTCCTGCTTCTGCTCTCATGTCCCACCCATGCTGGGTCCCTCCTCCCCTCTTCTGCCTCACACCCTCTAAGTCCCCCCCCAGATCTCCCCAGGGAGGCCCCTCACTCCCCTTTCCCTTCCAGGGGCCAAGCTCAGGAAGGAAGCCCAGGTCCTTGAGCACGGGGTCCCCTCTTCTGGTGTCTGCCCTCCGCTCTTCTCCAGCCTGGCTTCCCCCATCAGGCCTTGTTGCTTTGGGTTCTGAGGAGAGAACAAGTGTCTCATGCCCTGGAGCCCAGAGCCCAGTGGGGGAAGCCACTACTTCCAGTGTCCCAAGGTGTCCAGCCCTCAGGAGGACCCTCAGCCCCTAGCCATCAGTCCGCCTGCCTGCCCTGAGCACTCCTGTTAACGGGGACATATATGAGACAGTGCCCATGACAAGACAGGAACAGCTGAGGTGACTGACTTGGAGGAAAAAAACAGACCTATGAGCTCTAATCCTGGTTCCCAGGACCCCTGAGAAGCCCCAGCTAGAGCCCCGGCCCCTGGCTTCAATCAGAGCCTTGACCTTGGTCCAGACAGGCTTAAGAGCCTAGAATGGCAGACCCAAGGGTGGGACTGGTAGCCCTCGCCCCCAGCACTTTATCTTAGGCATATGGAGGTGGGGGAAGGCGGTGTGAGGGACGTGGGGGTCCTTGACCAGAGGGAAGCAAGCCACCAGGACAAGTCCGGCATGTCCCTAATCTTTGCCCCTGTCCTGGGGGGGACAGGTGGGTAAAGGGCAGCCTGGTGGCTGCCAGGTCCCTGGTAAGCTTTCTCTCAGTAATTAATCCCTGAATCACGTACCGCCGATTAAGAAAGGAAATTGAGTATGAACACGGAGACGTTTCCCGGGTGAGCAGCCCTGCCCGGTGCTGGGGGGGAGGCTTGAAGTGTGAGGAGGGGGAACCCACACGGTCCCATAAACATGCAGCCGAGTCAATAGAAGTGGCTTCTGGCCCTTTAATTAAAACACTCCGTCCTGGAGCTTGCTCCCTCCAGCCCCAGTGTGGCAGGCTGCCATCCCTGGACCATGAGAGCTCCAGTTGGGGCAGGGACAGCCCAGGAGAACAGTGGAAACTGAGGCAATAGCAGCCTCTGGGATCTCATGGGATCCTCCCAACACCTACAGAAAAGGAAAATGAGGCTCAGCACCTCGCCCCAGATGCCATAGCAAGTTTGGGTCTGAGCATGGAAGGCGGGCCAGGTGCTCTGGCTCTGGGCCGCCCCAAATGTCAGCGCTGGCCTGGCTTGGCTCCTGGCCCGGGGCCCCTGCCAGAGTCTGTGCTCTCGGCTCCGGGAGCCGGTGCCCTGGAAGGCTGGCCCTGCTTTAGCCTGGCTGCTCTCTGGCCCTGAACTGCCCCCTTCACTTCCCCTGCTTCCTTCACGATCCAGGGCTTCCCTCACAGAAACCCTGGAGTGGGGCCGGTGAAGGAGGAATCATTGCCTCCACTCTACAAAGGAGGAAAGGAGGCTCTGCTGTATTCCTCCTTGCCCCCCAGATTAGCTCAGGGCAGGAATCCCAAAGGATGGGATGGGAAGCCAAATGGAGGGGCCCAGACCCACAGGCAGGATGTAGGGGGAGGATGGGAAACAGACAAGGGAGACAACAGTGTCGGGGACAACATGGGCCCGTCTGGCCCCGGAGACTTCCGGCCTGGGTCTAGAAAGGTGGGTCAGGCTGCTGCCCAAGGCTGAAGCCCTGCAAACGCTCTCTAGCCAGGAGACGGGACTGTGGAAGCCCAGGCCCACCTATCAAGGCCTCACTAACAGGCTGGCCCCCAGCCCAGGGAGGAGAGCTCTGCACTCCCCCAGGGGTCTCCCTCTGGTGAGCAAGCGCCTTCTGGCCATGAGGAGGATCCCCTGCTCCCAGCCTGTCTGTCCCCAAATAAGCTGCCCCTCATCCCAGTCTTTGGCCTTCCCAGGGCATTAGCTAGGGCCCTTCCCCCTCCACCCCCCCACCCCCCCACCCCTGTTATCCCACAAGGACCCTCAGGGGGCCATCCATCTCCATCTCCTACCGGTTTCACAGAGGAGGCCACGGAATCCCGGTGACCAGAGCCAGAGGGCCTGGCTTCCTAGCCTACTTCTGACATCATAAGCTCTGTGACTCTGGAACAGTCACCTGCTGTCTCTGAATCCCACTCCCCTCAGCTCTCAAAGGTGGATCCTAAGTACAGTGTTGTTCTTAAAGGAGCCCATGCCCACCTGAGCCCCCTGCCCACGTGACCGATAAGAAGCTAAGGTGCTGAGATGTTCGGTCTGCCCCTCGGCACAGCCCCCAGGTGGGCAGGAGGTCACCAAGCGGGGATGCCCCTGCCCTAAATGCACACCCCTGCTTCTCCCAGAGACTGAGGCCTCGTAATGGAACTGCCCTCGGCTCCCTCCCCCACACACTCACCTGACCACAGAGGGTCAGAGTGATGGGTTCTGGTGGGGTTAACCCAACCCTAAGCCTTCCCCTGTGCCCTCTGCCCAGCAAGCCACCCTAGCCACCCCCACATATGCCCGTCTCTCTGGTCTCTGCCTCTCCATCCCCTTCTCCAGCACTAAAATAACCTTCCTAGCTGCCTTCTCCCTCAGCCATTCCCTCCCCAGCTCCTCCAGCTCCAGTACAATCCAATTCCTCCCTTTCTCCACCCAACATTTGAAAAGTCCCTAACATCTGTAGGAAGGGTGTGTGGGGCAGACTGATCAAGAGAGTACTTACTAGGTGCTAGGCACTGGGCTAAGTGCATTTAAAATATTACCCTATTTGATCAGAATCAAATAAGCTCATCGGGAAAGAAAAGGTTGGGTGAGCCATTGGTGAAGCATGGGAGAGGGGCCCCCAAACTGAAGCTGCTGAGAATGGGCACCCCCATCCTCCTACACCCCAGTAGTGATCGGGGGCTCCTCACCCTCTCTCACCCCCAGATCCAATATGGTGCCACGGTCTGTCAATTTCACCTCCACAATTTCACCTCTGCTACATCTTTTGTCAATTTCGCTGTTTCACAGCATCTCTCCCAACAGGTCCCTTCTCTCTGACTCTGCCCCAACCCTGGTGCAGCCCCTCTTCACCCCACATCTGCACTATAGCAGTAGCTCCCGGGGGCACTGCCTGTCTCCAGCCTGTCCCCCCTCCAGTCCATCCTTCATTCAGCCTCCAAAATGATCTCCCTAACACACAGGTCTGATCGTGTCACTCCACACTTACGAATCTCCAGTGGCTCCCTATGGCCTCCAGGAGCAAATAGAGATACCTCTGCTCTTTCCCTTCCACATTCCAACCCTTCACCACCTGGTGCCAAGCTGCCTTTCCAGCTGGTCCCACACTGCTCACCTTTTCCTCAAAGGCTCCCCTCTGTGTATAGCGGTTTGTTGCCCCCTCTGTGAGCTCCCCAGGGGTAGCAACCATTTATTTTGTTTTTCCTATGTAGCCCGGGACCCAGACCTGGAACACAGTCTGAACTTAATGAAAGCTTGTCATGTGGCTGATCTGGCACCTTGAAGGGACGGGCAGCCTTTGGCAAAGTGGAGGAGAGGTGCAGACCCCCTGTTCCCGCCCTCCCCAGAGGTAGCACAACTGGATGGATGGTCTTGGAGGTGGCTGAACAGTCATACTTCACTCAGAGTTTGTCTAGGTTCCGTGTCAGTGTGGCTGGAGGTCTCCAGGGAAGAGCCCTAGGGATCTGTGCTGTTGAATACTTTTATCCAATGACATGGAGCAAAGCATGGATGACAGACTCATGAACTGAGGGGGATTGATAAAATAATGAGCGACAGAGTCAGAATCCCAAAAGATCTCAGCAGACTCAAGCACTGGGCCGAGTCCATGAAGATAAGCCACAGGGCTCAATGGCTTATGCTTCCCAAGTTGGAGGATGGGAGAGGTCTAGTTAGACTTCTGCATAAGATCTGGGGGTCTGAGGGGACCACAAGCTCAGTAGGAGATAGTAGAATGTGATATGGCTATCAGAAACCCAATGCCATCTCGGGAAGCATGGGCAGGGACAGAGTTTCCAGGCCTAGGGAGGGGACAGGAGGTCTGGCAATCAGAGTAGTGAAGGGTCTGGAGTCTGTGACATGAGGATGAGTTGAAGGGATGTTTCTCCTGGAGAGGACTGAAGGGATGGGGGTGGGGAAGAACCATGATGGTTTTGCTCACGTACCAAAGGACTGTCCTGAGGAGGAAAGATTTGCCTTGCTCTGCTTGGCCCCAGGAGAAGCCCCTCCGCTGATGCTGCTCCTCCAAAGCTCCCTGGAGACCTTCTGGTCACCACCATGGCCTCCTTCGGTCCAACATTTCCCCCTTCGTCCGGAGTGCTGCTGTTGGCCACCCCTTCACCTGATCCTCTCCTGCCTCTGCTTCAAAGCCCCCTCATCTCCTGCCTCTGCTGTTGTGCTTT